TTTTTACATATTTTGCAAGTATTTTATATAGAAAATATGTTCGCATTAAAGGATTTAGTCCGATTCGTAAAATTAACAAAGTTATAGGTCGGTACTCGTAATCGATTCTTATATTTGAGATCGTCTTAAGTATAGTCTTAAGATGTTACAAGCCAATAACAGAGTCGTATTAGCATCTTAAGACATTACTTAAGACGGCTTTGAAATAAAAACTGACTTATGAATATCGGCCATAGCACTTGATAGAGAGTGGTCTCAATCCATGTAATACAAAAAACTTTAAACACGTATTCTCGAAACCACGTTTTTCAAATTGTGATACAATATCTCGAAAACCAATTGACCAATTAATTCGGGCTTGTGCACACATCTTCAGCATATGCGTGGCTATAGGCCCCTATCTCGATCAAATCAAAATGTTTTTTTTTAATTTTTACAACTATTTAAAGTTGAAAAAAGGCAAAAATCTAAATTTAATTTTCAAAATGTCAGTTTTTAAATTTTTAGTATTTTTTTATGTTCTGGTACCAGCTATAACCAAACTCATACTAATTAAGAATTTCTTTGATTTTTTTGTTTTAAATGAGCAGAACAGCCGGAATTATGGGTACCGTGGACCAATCTTTTTTTTCACAACCTCAGTACATATTGTATACAGCGCTTATTTATAGTTATTTTTAAATACAAATATTTTAAAACATGCTTTAAATATGTATAAATATATAGGAAAAAACCCCGTCCCAAAAAACTTTATACTTTCTTTATCGTGTTTAAAATGGGCTGTTAGGAGTCGGCGCGGTAAATGGTGCGCAAATACATATATGAACGGCTTGCATTAGACAATAAATATAATTCACTTAGCTAATACATAAACTCTTATAAATACGTAAACTCTTACAAACATTTCGGCTCTGTTTGAACCATCTTCAGTGTAAAAACCATTTAAAAACTTAAGTCATTCACCGTTTTTCGAAACTGAGGTTGTCCAACGTAGATGACAGTTCTTATGATTAAAGCCCCCAAAAGCCGGTTGATTGGCCGGATAGGAGACTATGTATGTAATATATCATGTAATATCTCGGTTATAAAGATACGTAAATGAGAACGGCTAAGGAAACTCACCTCAGGATCGAACACAGGGTAAAACCTTTCCGCATATCACATGGTGTCAAGTCCAGTACACAATAAGTCACGTGAATGAAGTTTAAAACAATAAATTAAATTAAAAGAATTAAAAAATTGTAAAATTAAATTCAAGTATATCATTCTGGCCAGAGCACGTCTGTTCTTTCCGAAGTCACAAGTAAAAGTGACATTTTAATAACAAACGAGGACAAATGTCAAACTAATTTGTATAGAAAGGCACAAGCAATGTTTATGTGTTATTAATAAAGAGAGATATAAAATTGATGTAATCCCTCTATATCCGTTTGCATGTTTAAACTATTTTGTTGTTATTGTATATGTATCATTTCCGAAATTAATCTTTTATTTAAAATTCTTTCAACATCCAGGATCTCAATATGTTTCCAATCGAATTCATGATTGTGATGCATCCTTTGGTCAGTGATTACAGATTGATTGGTTGTGTTCTGTCGAATATGATTTCTATGTTCTTTTATTCTCGTTTTTAGTTGTCTATATGTCTGACCGACATAGGAAGCATCACAATTGTTACAATTAATTTTGCATACAACGTTCTTATTTAATAACTTTGGGAGAGAATCTTTACGGACCTTGATAAATCTTTGTAATTTATTCATACTGAAAAACGACAACTTGGTGTCAATATTATTAATAACGTTTCTAAATTTATCTGAAATTGTTTTAATATATGATAATGTGAACTAATTCCGTTTTAATCTCACACTAACATTTTTTAGCATTGCATAATTGTTAATTAAGTGTTTTAATCTAAAATTTATTGTTTTGAAAATAAAATCAAGCGAGTAATCGTTCTTCAGCAGAACATCCACCATGAATTCGAATTTTTTTTTTATGGAACTCAGGATGTGAAAGGAAAAAGATCTTGTCGACCATCCTTACTATTGTGCCTCTCTTTTGAGAAACCAGGTGTTGGGACAAATATTTATACTTTTTTTTTAAATTCGCAAAAATAGCATAAAAATTTGGCCTCTAACTAAAATACCCCCTTAATATTCACAAGAGATACTCTAAACTCATAGTACCTTTATATGCTATCTGTTCCTACGAAATGCTGTGGTAGTCTTATTGTCATTCGCTGGAAACGTGTAAAATATAAAATGTTTGAAAAATTGTAGCGGTCTCACAGACCGGTGTTATGGTTTGCGTTACTTTTTTGCAATATTGAGAATGTATATATTTCTTAATCTACGTCTTATTTACACATATTAACTTGTATTTACTGGTGTGTTGTATATTTTGAGATTAGAAAGGACTAAAAATGGCTTTTTATGCCATTATAATTTCTGTAACATGCACATTATGCCATTATAAATTAAAACGTAAAACTGCATATAAATGCGCATAAAATGCGAGACATCGATTTGTTTAGTATTGGCGAAAGATGTGCACTATTTAATTGGTATGCCAACAAAATTTTTAAAAGTTCATACAGTTCCTTTAAATATAAAATTTGCATAATATAAGAAAGATTATATAATAAATATAAAAGAAATAAAATATATTGATTATAATATAAATGGTGGCAAATATACTTTATAAATTCTTAAAATTAAATAACATTAATAATATTATTAATCAATTACACTTTTGTTTTTGCTAGTCAACTATTTAATTTTAAGACAATTATTAAAATAATATTTTTTATTCATTTTAAATTAAAGTAAATAATTTATAAAGTATATTTGCCATCATTTAAATATATTTTATTTCTTTGGTATATGAGATATTTTTGTTAACTTTCACATTAAAACATATTTTTCCTTTTACCTATCAACAAGTATTCAGAAAACATACATTTTTTATTATAATTAATTTGAGGAAAAATGGTGGATGAGGGCGATAGAAAGAGGGAAAGGGAAAGGATGATTAAGGATGAGGAAGAGAGAAGGAATGGGTGAGAGGGGAGTGTGGAGTGAGAAAGAAAGTAGAGTGGGTGAGTGGTGTGTGTGCGTGTGCGTGTGCGTGTGCGTGTGCGTGTGCGTGTGCGTGTGCGTGTGCGTGTGCGTGTGTGTGTGTGTGTGTGTGTGTGTGTGTGTGTGTGTGTGTGTGTGTGTGTGTGTGTGCGCGTGCGTGCGAGAGAGAGAGAGAGAAGGGGGGGGGAATGAATGAGTGAGAGCGAGAGAAAATAGAGGTAATAGAAAGAAAGAGTAAGGGACGCAAAAGGGAAAGATATGTTTTGGAAAAAGGCAAGAGGAAACGGAAGTCCCGAAGAGAGGGAGAAAGGCGTCAGCAAATAGGTTAAAATAGATTAAGATAGGTTAAGATAGAATAAGTCGTTGAGGATAAGTTAGAATAAGGTAAAATGTATATATGTATATAATTGATGATAGTTGTAACCTTAAGGGGATCAATAAATTTTACTATTATTATAATTAACTTATAAAATTAGTGGGAGCATAATAACGGTCTGTCAGATCAACATTGTGGTTAGTGTGATTTTTTTGGATGTGTGGTTTAAAGAATATACTATAAGAATATAATATATAGGGTGTTCTCGTATAAGTGACCACTTCTTTTTATTTCGTAAACTAACAGAGATAGACTTAATAAATATAATATCAAATTAAACGGCTCTGACTAAACTTTATTGTAAGCACAGTAATCATTTAGAAACATTATCTAAATAGTAATAATAATACATTATCTAATTCTTATAAGAGATTGACAAAAGCGAATGAACTGAAAAGCATTCAGTTATTATCGAATAAAGTCTACTCTCATAAAAATTTAATCGATTAATTAACATATGTTGTATGTACCAAAAATGATAAAAAATGAAGTATTAGATATTACTGTAAATACATATGGTTACCATATGTATTTTTTTGCTCTCAGCGTTTTCTAACATCAACGACGTTGCCTGCCACGTCGTCGATCCTAGGTAACTCTGAGAGCAGGAAAATATATATGGTTCCAACATTTTACTTTTCGAAACCATACTGTTAGCCTTCATATTGATATGGTGTGACTTTAGACGAGCTTAATTATAATTATGATCGTAATTTTAATTATAATTATAATAATAATAATTATATTTATTATTTATTATAATAATTATATTTATTGTAATTACTATCATTGCAACTATTTAACTCATATATATTAGAAACAAAGCTTTAAGGAGTTGATAATGACGCGAATGTAGTGCGGCATATCGCTTTTTTGGCAGAAGACACTTTGACTGCCTATATCTATGAAACTACCTATAGGATCGAGTTGTGCCCATTTCAGAATGACGAGAACTACAACATATCAAAAATTCAGTCAATTCGATCGAAAGCACTTTTCCATAAGTTTTGTGCGTAGTCCTTTACAGGTTTTCTCCATATCTTAATACATTCTTAAAGTTATGCTTAATGGCACAACATTAAGAATGTATCAAAACACGGAGAAAATCCGTAAATCTGTTAACACTTTTAAAGAGAATATCCGAAAGCCTTAAGAATGTAATTTTTGCGTTTATTTAATGTGAATAGTACATACAGAACCAGCAGTCTGGCAAACACGAGAATCCTTCGAAACTCTCTGCATTGCTTTGCGAAATGTTATATCAACCTGGATAAACAAAATTTCTTCATCAGGAAGCTGCGCTACAATGTCTTTACTTGAAAAAATTGGAAGCAAATACATCCATTGCATTTGAACCTGCAATTAAGGAAAATGTCAATTGTTGTAAATGATTAAGTTATTATACACATATTGAACAAAAACAGCAAAAAGTTTCAATTTGAAGAAAAAGTTGACAAATTAGAGAAATAAATTTCTTCATAAAATTATGATTATGTATATTCACATTTAAATTAAAAGGAGATAAACACCAATACGATCCAAACGGATCTTGGTGCTCGACAATATTATACTGTGTGAATCTTACATTTTATCGGTTCAAGTAAACCGCGCTCTGAATAATCGTCGAACTTTCAACGCAGCTAAAAACTAAAAGTACATAATATTACAACTAAATTGCCAACGGCAATCTAATAAATCGATGCTCTTAAAACATCTATTAAATCCTGTGAAAATAACTTATTGCGAAAAATATTATCTCAGCCGAGATTTGAACCTGGACCTCCTTACTCTCCTTGTGGGTGGATGTCCTACCAATTAGACTACCAAAGCATATGATAATCTTTATTGCATATAACTAATATACCTATATATTTGGAAGAACGTATATTTCAAGACGACGTATATAAACAATTGAGTATCAGGATGGACCGTTAAGAGGATGCTAAAGCCATCTGTTTTATCGACAAAAATACCATTTTTGTTGGATACAAAATACTTCGTATTAATTGCATAGAATAAAATTTTCTTTTCCACGATTAAAACACACATGCTAATGCATCTGGCTCTGGTGTGTTTTGTACCAAAAACAGGAAAAAATTAAGAAATTACAGATCGGA